CCTACACCTCCCCCCTCACCCCCATCCCAGGCCCCAAGAAGACTTTCCACATCAAGCAGATGTTCACTTGCACGTCTGCTAATGTGGTATACTGCATCCGCTGTTCCTGTTGTGGCCTCCTCTACATCGGGGAAACCAAGCGGAGGCTGGGGGACCGCTTTGCAGAACACCTACGCTCGGTTCGCACTAAACAACTGCACCTCCCAGTCGCGAACCATTTCAACTCCCCCTCCCATTCCTCAGACAACATGTCCATCCTGGGCCTCCTGCGGTGCCACAATGATGTTACCCGAAGGTTGCAGGAACAGCAACTCATATTCCGCTTGGGAAACCTGCAGCCCAATGGTATCAATGTGGACTTCACAAGCTTCAAAATCTCCCCTCCCCCTACCACATCCCAAAACCAGCCCAGCTTGTCCCCGCCTCCCTAACCTGTCCTTCCTCCCACCTATCCCATCCTCCCACCTCAAGCGCCACCCCCATCTCCTACCTACTAACCTCATCCCGCCCCCTTGACCTGTCCGTCCTCCCTGGACTGACCTATCCCCTCCCTAACTCCCCACCTACACTCACCTTTACTGGCTCCATCCTCGCCTCTTTGACCAGTCTGTCTCCTCTCCATCTATCTTCTCCTCTATCCATCTTCTATCCGCCTCTCCCTCTCTCCCTATTTATTTCAGAACCCCTTTCCCCTCCCCCATTTCTGAAGAAGGGTCTAGGCCCGAAACGTCGGCTTTCCTGCTCCTCTGATGCTGCTTGGCCTGCTGTGTTCATCCAGCTCTACACCTTGTTATCTCACCTAAGGGTCCTACCATTTACCATATACTTTCCTCTGCATTTGGTTTCCCAAAATGCACCACCTCACATTTGTCCAGATTAAACTCCATGTGCCACTTCTCCACCCAACTTTCCAAATGATCTATATATGTTGTATCCATTGACACCCTTTTCCACAATGTACAACTCCACCAATTTTCATGTCGTCTGCAAACTTAATAATCAGACTACCGGTATTTTCAGCCAAATCATTTATATATACTACAAACAACAGAGGTCCTAGCATTGATCCCTGCAGGACACCACTGGTCACAGACCTCCAGTCAGAAAAACACCCATCCGCACCTTACCCCTGACTTCTAAGACCAAGCCAATTTTGCAGTTTTGTATTTGATTTGGTTTAATGAGCACTTCAAATGCACTATGCAATGTTTAAATTCAGAACTTGTTTTTCTTTTCTCGAAGACAAAACAAGATTGGTTAGTGAGCTGAACTCTGAGATGTAGTCACCATCACCAAGGAAAAGGTGCTAGGAAAGCTGAAAGGTCTGAAACTGAAATCTCCCACACCAAATGGACTACATCCCAGGAGATAGGAGATAGCTGAGGAGATTGTAGAGGCACTGGTGGTGATCTTTCAGGAATCACTGGGGTCAGGAAGGACCTCAGAGCACTGGAAAATGGCTAATGGAGGTAGAAGACCGGAAACTATAGGTTGGTTAACCTGACCTCAGTTGTTGGTATGATTTTAGAGTCCATTATTAAGGATGAGATTGCAGAGTACTTGATAAAATAGGGCTGAGTCAGCACAGCTTCATCAAGTGGAGGTCATACCTGACAAATCTGTTCGAATTCTTTGAGAGATCGCAAGCAAGTTAGACAAAAGAGAGCCAGTGAACATGATCTATTTGGAATTTCAGAAGGCCTTAAACAAAGTGCCACATGAGAAGCTTTTAAATAAGAATAAGATGGTGTTAGGGGCGAAGTGCTGGCATGGATGGAGGATTGGCTGACTGGCAGAAGGCAAAGAATGAGGATAAAGAGGTTTTTTTTCAGGATGGCAGCCGGTGACTAGTGAAGTTCTGCAGCGGTCAGTGTTGGGACTAAAACTATACACTTTATGCATAAACAATCTAAACGAAGGAACTGAGGGGCATTGTTGCTAAGTTTGCAGGTGTCACAAAGATAGGTGGAGGGACAGGTAGTGTTGAGGAAGCTGGGAGCTTGCAGAAAGATTTGGTCAGACTAGGAGAGAGGGCAAAGAAGCGGCAAATTGTATACAATGTAGGAAAATGCGAGGTTATGCATTTTGGTAGGAAAAATAGAGGCGTAGACTATTTTCTAAACGGGGAAAGGCTTTGGAAATCTGAAACACAAAATGACTTGGGAGTCCTAGTTCAGGATTCTGTTAACATGCAGGTTCAACTGGCAATTAGGAAGACAAATACAATGTTAGTATTCTTTTCATGACAGCTAGGATGCAAGAGCAAAGATGTACTACTGAGGCTGTATCAGGCTCTGGTCAGAGTATATTTGGAATATTGTGAGCATTTTTGGGCCCCATATCTGAAGAAGGATGAACCAGTATTGGAGGGGTCCAGAAGAGGCTTACAAGGATGATTCCAGGATTGAAGGGCTTGTTACATGCAGCATGGGTGAGAACTCTGGGTCCATACTTGATGGAGTTTCAAAGGATGGGGGTCGATCTCATTGACACTTACAGAATACTGAGAGGCCTAGGTAGATTGGATGTAGAGAAGATGTTTCCACTAGTAGGAGAGACTAGGAGGTGAGGGCACAGAATGAGAGTGAACGGACAACTCTTTAGAACTGAGATAAGGAGGAATTTCTTCAGCTAGAGGGTGGTGAATCTGTGGAACTAATTATCACAGAAGACTGTGGAGGCCAAGTCATTGAGTGCATTTAAGATAGGGATAGTTAAGTTCTTGATTAGTAAAAGGATCAAGGGTTACGGGGAGAAGGCAGGAGAATGGAGTTGAGAAACATAACAGCAATGATTGAATGATGGAACAGACTTGATGAGCCAAATGGCCTAATTCTGCTCCTATATCTAATGGTCTATTATGGTTTTATGATCGTTCTTTACCTGCTGTCAGTTTGCTCAAATAAGCCTTCTCCTTTATTCATTAACGGGATGAGGGCGTCGCTGGCTAGGCAGCATTTATTGCCCATCCCTAACAGTCCAGAGAGCAGTTAAGAGTCAACCACATCGCTGTGGGTCTGGAGTCACATGTAGGCCAGACCAGGTAAGGGATGGCAGTTTCCTTCCCTAAAGGACATTAATGAACCAGATGAGTTTTTCTGACAATCGACAATGGATTCATGGTCATTATTAGATTGTTAATTCCAGATATTTATTGAATTCAAATTCCACCATCTGCCATGGAAGGATTCAAACCCAGGTCCCCAGAACATTATCTGGGTCTCTTGATTAACAGTCCAGCGAAAATATCACTAGGCCATTGCCTCCCCTACATTGATGCGAAAGAAACAGGAAATTGATACTAAAGAATCATTCCCTTGTCTGGCTTGGTTACTAAATGTATATACAATACTAGAAATAACTTGGATATTTAATCCAGGAAATATATTTATATTTTTGAATTGTTTATCTGACTACTATGTTTCTTAAAACCTTTGTTGTACACAATACTTAAGTGTGTTGATTACATTTAAACTAAGTACCAAGAAACATTAAGGTTAGTATCAAATTGAAACAGTAAATGTACAATGTGGCACAGGTTAGTGATGAACCACAGGATTGGGAAAGTTTTAAAACCCAACAAAAGAGGACACAAAGAAAGGAAGAAAATAAGCATTAAGCATAATCTTTCAAATAATACAAAAACAGATAGTAAGATCTTGTTTTAAATATATAAAATGGGAAGATAGAGACCAAAGTAAGCATATGTTCCTCAGAGAATGAGACTGAGGAAAAGTAATGGGGAACCAGAAATGTAAGAAAAGCTGAATAAAAACTTTGCATAAGTATTCAGACCAGAAGATGCTAATAGCATCCCAAAATTATAGACAGATCGAGAGGACATAAACTAGCAGATGGAATATCATGGAAAAATGTGAGGCTGTGGAATTTGGCAGAAAGAATAGAGGAGCTGAATATTATTTAAATTGAGCAAGACTGCAGAAAACTGTAACACAGAGGGATTTGGGGGTCCACTTACATGAATCACAGAAAGTTAGCATCCAAGTTCAGCAGGCAATATGGAAGGCAAGTAGACTGGCCTTTATTTCAAAGAGAATAGAGCATAAAAGTGGGGATGCCTTGTTAAAGCTATACAAGATACTAGTCAGACCACATCTGGAATACTGTGAACAGTTTTTGGTTTCCTTATCTAAGGAAAGATATTCTGGCATTAGAGGCAGTCCAGGGAACGTTCACTAGGTTAATTCTGGCTCTGGAGGGGTTTTCTTAAGAGGAAAGCTTGAGTAGGTTGCAATGTACTCATTGGAGTTTGCAAGAATGAGAGCCTTGAATATACTTAATAACTCAGCCTCTCCATCCCTCTGTGGTAAAGAATTCCACAAATTCAAATCCAATGTGACTTATCATTGGAATTGAACAGGGTTTGAAAATAATAGCTTTTGTGCTGTTGAAGAAGGTGGGGGAGGTGCAAGTGGAACCAATGTGAGGGTATCCTCACAAAAAAAAATGCAAAGGGAGTGCTAATATTAGTTGATGTATGATATGGACACGGAACAGGTTTAATCGTCAGTGTGAATCGCAGAAAACAGCTGACCCATTTTTGATTTTGATATCACAATGTATTTGCAGTGCATTCTATTTTTGTTTAGCAATCCATTGTACTGGTCTACTGCTCTTCCTAGTCCACTTCAAAAACTTGAACTCACTAGGCTGTAAAGTGCTCTGGAGCATTTTGAGGTTGTGAAATGTACCGTACACATGCACATTCTTTCATTTTTGACCTTTGACAGAATCAGCTGTGAAATAAAAGATGGACATTTTTGTATTTCCTATCACAATATACTATTTGAGCACTAGTTTGGGATGTTTCTAGTTAGAACTAGAAGTCTAGCTCTGCATTCAAAATACTGCCCACTTGCTGAAGTGCACTTCTCTGTATGTCGTTTCATTGTGCTGTATGTTAAGTAGGTCATTAAGTTGTAACGTTGCTGGTGTTGGTAGCACTTTCACACCCCTTATGTCCACTTGTTGTACTGCAGGCTTTACTTTGTCGCTTCACGTGAAGGCCATCTACCCAGTGTTCTGTGTATGATCCATGTTCTAAGGTATACCCCGATTCCAGCCCTGTGTTTTAATGTGAGTAAAATTAAGAATTAGTTTTATTACTATGTTTTAATAATATTAAAAAATGTCAGTGAAACTTATTTGAAGATGTCTATGTGTTAAATGTGGCACTCTCAATAGATACCACGACCATAACAAAACTGAAGTTGAGTAAATCAAAGCTTTTGTCCTCACTATCTCGTTCAAAGGGATACAGGCTCAAAAACCGAAAAAGCTGTTTAGCTGCCCTCTACCGATTTTAATGCTGTGGAGTTTTCACAGTAAAGGTTTTGGACCTAGATTTTCTTGGAGTTGATTAAACTCTGAAGGAATGCAAAAATGGCAGAAACCAAACTTGGGATTCCTGCTATGTTGTCTGAGAGAGGGACACAGGTTGAAAGTCCTGAGGGAAAAAGAAACTCCTGTTAGAAATCTGCTATGAAATCAACTGCTGTTCCTAATGAGATGTCAATAAGACAGGCCCACTCATGCTATCAATAACGGAGGCTTTCCTTTACATCATCAATAATTGTCCAGCATAATGCAGGCATGAGTCTTACAGCAAGTCAAAGTTTCATGCTTGTTAAGTTTAGGCTTTTTATTTGTTTGAGCCTGTAAGCTTGATAACAGAAAGATTGGTGGATGGACTCACGACCATACGTTTGTATTCTTTTTCATATTTTCTGCCCAACATTTCACCTCAACTGAGCATTGGAACGTGCTCCAGATTTCTGTCTGTGCCACTCTCTGACCAGCTATGCACTGTAGGCAGAGTAGTCCTCCTCTCTGGGATGGACTCTGGCCTCTCCTCAGCATTTATTCTGACACCTTTGTTGAGATAGGAACGACAGCAGGAGGCGGATTGCAAGTGCACACTCTGTTGCTGTGGCTGTCACTCTTTGCAGTTTGGAGGATATCTGAAAAACATTTGAGCATTCTTTCGAACACACTCCCCTTCCCCTTTAACACACTTCTAGTTACATATTGTTTTAGCTTCCAAGTGAATCTACAATTATTGCACATCTTCATAGAACAGGTTATATGCTAATAAGTCCACAAATAAAAATCAATACACACTATCAGACTGTCGGAGTTCCCTTCATTTTGCCCATGAGCTTTATAGTGCAGTATGCTGTACAAATATCAAAAAAATTACCTTTATAAACCATAGAAATCTAATTGAAATGGTTTTCACTCACTGTTTGTGTTTTTTTTATATTGACTGTCATGGCTTTTGTTTTGTTATCTAGGGAGGGATGGCTTTAATCTTTCTCTGCGTGGAAGATATTTACAACCTTATTAATTACTTCAGTTTTAACTATTGGCTCTTTATTGGCCTATCAGTTGCAAGTCAGATTTATCTGAGGTGGAAATTCCCTGATCTGCCAAGACCTGTAAAGGTAAGAAGCATTGCTTAAAATGACACTCGCTGACTTCTTTAAAATCTCTTTTAAAAGCAAAATGCTATAAATGATGGAAATCTGAAATAAAAACAGAAAATACTGATCCGCTCAGCAGGTCTGACGATGTTGGTCAGAGAGAAACATGGTCAAATCATTGACTTTCTGTCATCATTGTTTATCTATTTAAGTCTCTGAAATGTTTCTATCTGTGTAAAAAGCTCCATGCAATAGATTGGCACAGAGCTGCTCCAAGGTACTATCAATGTTACATTGTAACTGTCCAGACATTTATTCAAAGTTATTATTACGTTGCAACGGAATTGAACAGGGAAATGTCTGCAACTGATTAAAATAGCATTACATTGTGACCGTCTAATAGATGGTCTGATCATCAATACTATAAATATTATATTGTAACTGCAGGAAGAGGTATTGTTCCCAAGTATGATCAGTGTTCAATCCTCAAGTGAGGGTCTGTTAACAGACAGTAACTATACTGGCCTGAAGAAAATTTATTTTTTACTTGTTTGTTACATTCAAGCAAGTAGAGAGTATTCAATCATTGATATATCCTGTGGGTGAATGGCAAGGCTTTGCTGATTCAAGAGGTGAGTTACTAGCCAGAGAATATCCAGCCTCCCAATGGCTGTAATCACTGCAGTATTTATCATTCTGGACAGCATAGGCCTTGAGATGGGGGTGATGGAGAATCCCACGTTGGCAGTGTGACTTAAGTATCAAAGGGAGGTAGCTAAGCTCACACTTACTGGATGATTTGGTTAATGCCTTGCACTTAATAAGATCATAAGGAATAGGAGCTGGTCATTCACTGTCTTGAACCTTCTCTATCATTCAGTAAGACCATGGCTGATATGATTATGGCCTTAACCTCACTTTGCTGTATCCTCATCACAGCTTGTCCTCCTATTTCTGTTATTATCAGAAATATTGACTGAAATATGGTTAGATTCTTAAGTCATTAATACAGATTATAAATACACTAGCACTAATCCATGTTTGTCCATTTATCCTAAATTTCCATTTCCTCCTGGTTAGCCAATCCATGTTAATATATCACTTCAAAATCATGAGCTCATAACTTGTGTGGTATTCCTTTTAAATGGCACCTTATTGAATGCCATTTGGAAATCAAAATATGTTTCAGTGACAGATTACCCTTTATCCACCCTGCACGTCATGTTCTCAAAGACCTCTAGAAAAAATGTCAAACACCTTCATAAAACCCCCATGTTGACTCTGCCTGACTGTATATTGTGATTTTCTACATTCTGTTACTCTTTCCTGAAAAATAGATTTTAGCACTTTCACAAAGATAGACATTAGGCTGCCTAGTGTACTATGTCCTGGCTTTCGGTCTCCCTCCTTTGAATTACATTTGTGGTTTTTCCAATCTTCCTGGAAAATTCTGGAAGAATACAACCAATGTATCAACTTTCTCGCAGCCACTTCTTTGCTAACCCTAGGATAACGGCTCTCAGTTACAGGGATCTTAGATTCATAGAAACCCTACAATGCGGAAGCAGGCCATTCAGCCCATCAAGTCCACACCACCTCTCCCAACAGCATCCCACCCAGACCCAGCCCTCTACCCTATTCCTGTAACCCTGCATTTCCCATGGTTAATCCACCTAGCCTGCACATCCCTGGACAGTGTGGGACAATTTAGCATGGCCAATCCACCTAACTCAACTTGTAAATCTGACTTGTCACCTATAGTCTCATTGGTTCTCCTAGTACTTTTTTTCTACAAATAGTGACTGTTTTAAGTTCCTCCTTACCTTTTGCCTCCTGCTTTACTTCAGTTCTTGGGATGCTTTTTTATGTATTCTGCAACATGAAAATAAGTAGGAAAGGAACGTATGAGGAGGACATAAAGAGTCTGCAAAGTAATGTAGATAACAGATGGCATACCATATTGGAAAAGTGTGATGTTGTGCACTTCGACATGAATTAGAAAGGGGCATATTACAAAATTGGATAGAGAGTTTGTAGATTTCTGCAATAGAGTGACCTGGGTGTCTTTGTTATGCATAACAAAAAGTAATCATGCAAGTACAGTTAAATCAGGAAAGCAAGTGTAATGTTAGCTTTTATTGTCAGTGATTGGATTATATAAGTAAGGAAGTCTAGCTGCAACTGTACAGGGCGTAAGACCATATATAGAGTAGTGTTGACCATTTTGGTCACCTAAGGAGGGATATACTTGGTTTGGAGACAGTTCAGAAAAAATTCAGTAGGCTGATTACTAGGATGTCGAGATTGTCTTGTGGGCAGGGATTTTAGGCAGGTCTGTCTCATTGAAGTTTAGAATAGGAGGTGAAATTATTGAAACATATAAAATTCTGAGGGTGCTTTTTAGGTTAGATGCTGAGAAAATGTCTCCTCTTATGTGAAAATCTAAAAAGTTTCAAAATATGGGTCTCCAGTTTAAGATAGAGATAAGGAGCAATTTCCATTCTGAGGGCATTCATGTTTGTAATTCTAACCAATAGAAAGCAGTAGATGCTGGGTTATACAATATTTTGAAGGTTGAGTTAGAGTGGGTTTGATCTACAAGGGACTCTAGCATTATGGATGAAAGGCAGGAAAGTGGAGTTGGAGTTGGAGTTGCTTCAGAGCAGTCATGATCTTAATGCCTGGAGGAGTAGGTTTGAGAGCCAAGTGGCCTACATCTGTTCCTAGTTGTTAAATTAACCTGTTTTCCAATTCCTCTTTGGCCAACTCACTTCATAGACTTGTAATTATCTTCTAATCAAGTTTAAGACACTAGTTTTGGATCCACATTTCTCGCCATGAAACTGAATGTAAAATTTAAAAGTGATCATTCTTAGCCAGTGGATCCTTCATTATGAGGCCATTAGTTAAATGTGACTTCATACACGTTACCAGGTCTATGTTAGCTTGCCGCCTGGTTGGGTTTCAGAACATATTATTGTAAGAAATTGTTTTGAAAAGATTACAAAGTGGCTGCCTTTTCTAGTTTGTGTGTTGCAAATGTTTGTTCCTTGTCAGCCAAGAAATGAATGTTGTTTGGGCTTTGTTGCATATGGGAATGAACCAACTAATTATCTGAGGAATTGGAAATGTGTGCTGGACACTGAAATCCTTGTTGAACAGTTCTATGTCTGATCTTATTATAGAGAAAAGACTATAAATGGTTGTGGTTGTATTAATTTTGAAACAGCCAAACTGTCTCTGGAGGACAGATCTCCAGTGCTACCTACTGGCATTTCTGATAATGAGGATTTCAGGAAACTGCTGAGAAGGTTCTTTAAATTGACCCTGAAGGCTGAAAGTGGTTGAAAGTGCTCCAGCCTTGATGTTTGGATGCTGAAGCTTTTTTCCACCTGGCTTTAGTTTCAAAGAAGTCATATTGGGTTCAAAATACTAACTCTGCTTCTCACTCTACAGATGCAGCCAAACCTGCTGAGTTTCTCCAACATTTCCTGTTTCTTATTTTATCTTGCAAGTCATTAATGAGTCCAGTGAGTAGTTGAATCCCCAGTACTAATCCCTGTCGGACACCACTAGATCCATACTGTAAATTACAGTATCTGCTCATTATTCCTACTCATTATATCTCCTGCTGTTTGGTTAATTTCCTAACCAAGTCAATAATTTGGCTTCTGTCTCTTATGAGGGACTTTATTGAGCGCTGTTTGGAAGTCTGTATAAATAACACTTATAAATGATCTCCTGTCTAATATTTCAGTCATTTCTTCAAGAAATTCAGTTAGGTTTGTCGGGCATGACCTACCTGTTACAATTTAATGCTGACTCTGTCTCAACAGTTAAACATCTATAAAATTTGCAGCCATCTTCTCATTAATTATAGACTTCAGTGATACCCTGACAACAAATGTTGGAGTAACTGGTCTGTAATTCACTCATTTGTACCTCTATCCTTAATAAGGGAATGACATGAGAAATTTTCCAATTTACAGGTAATTTAAATGAAAGGACCTTGTGAAATTGATGGTGTGAAGAGTGGTACAAGTGAAATTATTTGATTTTTTTTAAAATTTGCAAAAGCTAGTACACAGCCCTACTTGATAGAGTTGTGATATCACAACAATATATAATGTGCATCTCTACAAAACTCTACCAATCATTTATAATTTTATTGCTTGCCATTTTTTCCAGCTCAGCTTGTTTTTTCCCATTGTGTACTGCTTGTGCAGCTTGTTTCTCGTGCTGATGCCCCTCTACAGTGATACCATTAATTCCCTAATTGGGATTGCAGTCGCACTCTCAGGAGCTCCAGTTTACTTTTTCTGCGTATACCTCCCCATTGAGAAACGACCCATGTGCCTTGAAAAACTATTACGTAAGTTCTACAGATACCTACTGCTTTTTGGTAGAAAGGCTTATGTCTATGCCTTATCCACTACCACATTATGGGAAGAATGTGGTTTATGAGTAAGTACGTAACTTGTGTTACATAGCTTGTATAGTGGAGCAACTAGAAAGTATGTATTGTTTGTATCACTAACTGGAGTTTGTATGTTGCAACTCAGGTCATTGACATGGTTGATCTATGTTTTATGCATAATTGCTTTTTTAAAAAGTTGCATTTGTCTGTGTGTTTGAGATGTTTGGTGGTTAACTCTGTTTCTCTCTCTGCAGATGCTGCCTGGGTTTCTCTAGCATTTTCTCTTTTTATTTCCCATTCAACCATCCACCCATCTACACTTCTACCTATATTGGCTCCTGGTCAAGCAATGCCTCAATTCTAAAGATCTACAGATAAACCCTTCAGTTTTCCTATAATGGGCAAGTTCATCTGCTGAAACTGTCTTCATAGAACATAATTATGATCAGGAATAGACTGTAAGGTCCTTTGAGTCTGTTCAGTCTTTAACTAAGATTGTAGTTGACCCACACTAGCCCACCCAACTCCCTATATGTCAATTAGTGTCCAAAGATCTATCAATTCCAATCTTGAATATACTTAACAATACTTCTCTGGAGTGCAGAATCCTAAAGATTCATAATGCTCTGACAGAAGATACTTATTCCCATCACAACCCTAAATGGTCCTTATTATAAGACTATGATCTCTAGTTCTGGATTGTCAAGCCAGGGGAAAGTCCCTCTTGGGATCTATCCTCTCAAGTCATCTAAGGAGCTTACGATTTTCAAAAAGATCATCTCTCATTCATCTAAACTCTAGAGGGTATAGATCTAATTTTGCTCCATATGTTTATTATCCCTAGGTTTGATTATATTAACATTCTCCTGACCAGTCTCCCATCATGCATATTCAATAACTTAAGTTCATCTGCTGCTTGTATCCTAATTTTTACAAAATCCCATTCACTTATCCAAATAAAAGAAATATACCGGGGATGCTGGAAATTTGAAATAAGAAGAAATGCTGGAGTAACTCAATAGGTCTGTCAGCTTTTATGGACAGAGAAAGAGAGATAATGTTTCAAGTCCAATATACAGTCTTAAAACATTAACTCTGTTTCTTTCTCTGCAGATGCTGCCTGGGTTCCTCTTTTTATTTCCCGTTCAACCATCCACCCATCTGCACTTCAACCTATATTGGCTCCTGGTCAAACAATGCCTCAATTCTAAAATACTCCTCCTTATTTTTAAATCCCTTCCCAATTACAGGCCTGCAATTCACCTACATAGTTTTGCTCCTCCAGCTCTGGTCCCAGATGCACATCTGATTTTAATTGCTTTCCTATTCTTGCCCATTTCAGTCCCAAGCTCTGAAATTCCCCACTAAGCCTCTCAACCTCCTACCTTTCTCACTTTTTATGAAGCTTGTTAAAACATGCCTCTTTAACAAGTTTTTGATCATATGCCCTGATATCTCACTAAATGGATAAATGCTATTTGATAATGCTTCTGTAATGCAAGTACAGGTAATTTTCTGATTGTTGCATTCTTGTGTGACCTCACAATATACAAACTTGCATTATAGGGAAATCGCTATACCTGTACAGCAGAAAGTTTGCATTATCCAAATAGCATCCACTATTCATGAATTGCGATACAGCCAATTAACAAAACACATGTTATAACAGAACTACCTTGTAGGATGTTTTTCTTACTGCACTAAAATGGTACGTGAAAGTATGTTGTTATTGAGCTTCATTGCTGCTATTTAATCTAATTGAGCTATTATCATTATCTTGCTGTCACTCATGTTCATCTTTTCCTGAGCTCTGATAATAGGATCAGGTCAGTTATTATTCATCAGTTGTTCATGGATTGTGTCGATATCCTGAATCCCATGTAACTATGGACTATTAGGCTTGGTGGTGATATAGCCAGAATTATTTTTTCTCAGATCATCGTGATTGAATTGCAAATAAGTTTGTTGAAAGAGCACAGATTCCCTCTGCCTCACCCCCTCTCTTCCCCCTCTCCCTCTCCCATCCCTTGTTATTGATGTTCATATTTAACAACGAAAGAACCTGATACACATGCGTTAACATTGCAAGTGGGTGGCTGACTTTTCACAATAATAATCCTAAGTGAAAATGGTTTCAATGTTATTTTCATTATTCATTAATATTATTATTCTGCAAATATAGAATGGATAAAATTGGTTTATGTTAGACTCTTAGCTGATTTTTCAAAGCTCCCAATCTTTATTGTTCCCACTGAGATTCATAAAACAAAATTCAATTCTTTTTGCGGTCTTAATTTTCTAGTTTCATTGAGCTTTTTACTTGGTTTAAAATTGAACATTTTGGCAATACTAAGTCACAATATTGACAAATGTAGATTATCAATTTGCAATTTCCATTACCTGATTTTAATACTGGAGACATTCATATACTAAAATGGTTTTAAGGAGGAAGAAGCATGGATGTAAAATAGCTGCAGGAATCTCGTGATCAGAAATTAAAGCAAGTTCAGGAAACCAGTGTTGAATAAACAGAATTGTCTGAAGTGAATTACCATTATTTTTATGAACATTGAAACCGGTCTGCTGAATGAGGTATCAAAAGACTCATCACCTGTTCTAGTTTACACTTGTCTGATAAGCTGCATGTATTGCATATGAAAGGTCACCTGCGACAATCCATCTTGGAAACACAATGAATAGACTCCAGAAGAAACAAATGAATCATATTTAGTAACTACAGAGAGTTAAAAATAAATTGGTAATAGCAAGGACTGGAAAATTTTCTCTGTCTGTTGTACTTCATCATCTCAAGAACTAATAGCAGTGATAATTGGAGGAAACACACAATCACTCAGAACTCAAGATTTTCCAAATTTCACTACTACTGCAGATACAAGACATCAACTAAACAGTCATGGTGTCAGTTTCAACTACAACAACCCAAGGACTGCAAGTACTTTTTATACTGTCTATTCTTGAATTGAGTTGAATTGAATTAGTTTTATTGTCACGTACTCAAATGAGTACAGTGAAAAGTTTACAATCACTGCATCACAGTGCCATCTTAGATACAAAGGTACCCAGGTACAGACCTTAAGATCATATTCTTGGAAAACAAAAAAAATAGAAAAGCAAAGAAATAAGTAGTCCAGCATTATAGGTCTTAGGAATAAATTAGAAAAATAAAGAAGTAACAAGCTCAGAATATCAGTCTTTCTGATTCCAGTCCTTGCCAGCACCTAACCTCAAGGAAGATCTCACCATCTCACTGCCACCTGCACCAGACCCACTAACAGGAGTTGCCCCACTTGAGGCACCATCTCTTTGCTGCTGGGCCCACTTCGCTGACACCGCTGAGCCCACACTCCCCCCTGCAACCAAGAGTCTGGCTGTGCTGTCAGGCCATGAGTCCCACTTCGGCTTCAGATGTTCTTCATCTTCGTATTGTATTAGACCCTCTCCCTCTTTTAAACTTAGACCTACATTGGCTTGTATTTTGCATGTTACGTTTTATTATTTTTTGCAGTGTTAGTAAATAACAAAATTCCTCTTTATTTCACTTGCAATTGGTTCCTTAATTGTGACCAAGTGACTATATTTTAATTGACGTGATGTAGCTCTGCACTAAAAAAAGCTAAAAATGTTTCTTGTGGCTAACTGAGGCTGTTGAAAAGACAGGAGTGGATTCACCCTGCCTTACCTAGTTGTAACAATGGAAATTAAAATCTCAGCAGATAAAAAAATCATCAAATTTACTGCAAGCCTATTTTAAAGTCCTGGTGTATACCAATTTCATCCCACAAATTTTATGTATTTAGTCACTTAATATGTTTCTAGTTTTGAGTTCAAATTCTGATATCTAATAAAGTTTTTGATTGATAATATTTTTCCAGGTATCTTCTCTTTGCAAGTTCAGAAATTGACAATGTGCTGTCTAACTGAAAATGAGCTTAGAGATGCCAAGGAATCTTAACCAAAATCTACTGGAAACTTCCACATACATGGTACCAGACATGGTTTGTGCAGATGCCCAATCCTTCTGTTGTTAAACCAATGTGACACATCACTTGAATCTAGCATACTTTAAACTTGACAATCAAAATGCTACATCTCATGATTGGACTATTTCTCTTGTATTAATTATTTTGGAAGACTGCTTTTTCCCCTTTTTGTATAAGTAAATAACAGACTTATTATAAACATTGGTGCTTTCATTTTGAACCGTGCATTTTCTCCTGCAATGGAGTCTATTGACTTTGGTCACTTGCTGGTGGGTTTAATGATAATGTAAGTCCTCGACTAGTATGAAAGCTATTTGGAACCATGCAGTGGTGGAAAGCCACAGTAAAACTGGGAATACTGATTCATTGGTCTGCAGCATTGTCTAATAGAAGCAGAAAACTCAAGATTACTTCCCCTTCCTTCCTAAAATTTCACCCCTTGATTTTTGAGATGGGGTTACTCTTTCCCCATATCAGGACACTCTCCATAACTCACATTAACAGACTGACCCAGTTGCCATTTAAAATGATTTGCATTGAATGGTATCTTATTAAAATATAAAATGAAGAATACCTGTTACAATTTTCCTTACTTGTTTTAACAAATGAGCCTGTCATTCATAAAATCCTGAATCTATTCAATCTGGAGTGGGCTTATCCAGAATATTGACACTGCCTAGTTCTCAATACATATTCTGGAAAATTTTGTTTCAATAATTACTTGTCTTAGAAGAAGCTTCAGCAGATTAGCATAGAAAAATGCTATAAAACACGAAGCAGAAGAAAATTCAATTAAAATAAGTAAGGGAAAAGGTTCAAAGCACAGAGCACCAGATTTGCACAAATTTGTCCAGTCAATACATTCCAGTAAAGAAGGGGATTATGTGGATCAATCGAGGGTAGTCAGTTAGAAGGAGAGGAGAAATGTTTACAATGAGAAAATGCAGTTTTTACGTAAACTTAAATATTTTTAAATTGCAACTCATCAAATGATATTCAGTGGCTGATCCTGTCCTAACCCAGTGCCTACACAGTTGCATGTTCAGCAGGAGTCACAGGAGGTTGATCAGGACAAAGAGACTTGGTGGTCATTCCCTTTCCTTGGCACCAGGGCAACTGGGATACGTCACTGTTACAACCCTTCTGAAATCAACTAATTCAGCACTGTGACTGAACCTATTATTATAAGATAATCAAAAACAGGGAAAAGTATTCATAACATCCTGTTGCAAAATTGGTAGGACCTATATTTCTGTAGGACCTAAAATATTTTTGCTAATTACAGTTGGGTTTATGCGTCTGTCAGGAGTGTTACAATGGCAGGGCTCAAGATCATAAACACTGGGGAAATGTACAACACTACTACATCTGAAATAAGGGGTGTTTTAAAAGAGAAGTTCTCCTGTGCCATTGCTCAACAATATTTCAGCATTTAAACAGTTTACAGATCTATTTGTATCTATTATGTAACAGGCCGAAATCTTATGAGCTGCAGTAGGGTACTGTCACTTGTAATGAATTGTTCTGTTATTTCAAGATCTGTGCATTAAGAGCTTTCGGACCAAATGCACTATTCATTTTGTGTGTGTTCAGGTCACAATTCTACAACTCTTCCCGTACAATAGAGCCACTCCTCATATCCAATTCCTTACTCTGTGATCAATCTGTGTTACAACCTCCTGACCACCAGCTCCCTCCAATCTACTTCAGTCTAGTTTTGATGCAAGTTGATTTACTGATCTTGTGACACAAATTGGTTCTTCTTTTGTATGCCTTGGTCAAGTTTATTCTTGATTTCATTTACCAGGACTGGTAATACATTGTTTAAATATGTATTTTCTGTTAATCCAGTGGGAGGTGATTTTGATTTGTCATCCCATCAACCCCCATCCTCATAAATGTGTGTAAGCGGGGACATTCAGTTTGAATTCACTCTATTAATGCCTGATTTGCAAATTTATTTTCTGGTGTCTTGAGCTATTTTGACACTGTCCCACATTAGGCTGGGTATATTATGTGATCCATAAACTGAATGCTTCAGACTGTTCACTATTTGAGTCATGAGGTAGCGGTAGAGATTCTCTTTTTGTTTACAGGTAACTCTTCAAATACACATGGTTTCTATTTTCTATATCTGTACCTTTAAGTATCAAGTGTGAAGCAATAGTGCTGATGCTTTTTGTATTGTAACGCATTTATTTTACTAAAATTGTTTCCGATTCGAGGGAAGCCAGACAAGAATATTATTGGTTGTTAACAAGTTTAAGAATTTACTGCTAGTTTTTGCTATGTAATTGTATTTTCATATTGGTTTATCTGATTGCAGATGATTGCAATGTCTTTTTGTCACTACACAGTGCAATGACTTTTTTAGATGTGTACAAATAGTAATAAAAGATTGTAACAACATACAAGTGCATTGTGTCGTAAGTATTAAAACAGTACTTCAATGCCAAGCTATTGGTATTTAAAACATCTGTTACCTTCTCTCTTTTGCTTAAAGGTAAATTTTTGAATGTTATTTCCATGAATGGAAATGTAAATTCTCAATGGTTCATGCAGGTATGTAACTGTATGTCTTGGATTGCACCTTTCCTTCCTTGTTTTCTTTTGTACCTTGACGCATTGGAATTATGCAGCTGTGGCCCTCGCCTAGATGGTAAACAAAAGCAGAAACTGTAAAAAGAGGTGCAGTGAACCAGCAGGGCAAGGTAAAAGTAACACTGAAAGTCGTGTTAGGACAACAAATGCAGGAGATATCAATCTTTCTGCATTAGGGCAGGCTACTCGCCTGTAACCAGTTCCACCAAAGCAAGCCTGAGGTCACCCACAACTGCATCATCAGCACAAGATGGTTGTAGTTTCTGGATCAAATGTTATTGTGATTAAGATACTCAAAAGAAAATTCCTGTGAAAAGAACCAAAATTTCATTTCTAAATACAACAAACAGGAATCTCAGTTTCCCAGCATGCTGAACCTGGATGACTCTTAAGGTTGTGAGGGCTTTCTTCTTGGCTGTTTTGAGCCTAAAGACATTTGATTAAATATTTGTGCTTCTGCTTCAGGTTTGCTCCTACATTACCACCTGCTGTGCATTGTTCCATGCTGTAGGGCTGCATCAAATAAACCCTGAGGTGCACATAATTGGCATAACATTTATAACCTATTTAAGAAATATTTTGAATTTGACAATGAGGATCATAAAAATTGAAAAGCATGTACTCAATTCGAGTTCTAAAGTGCCTTACAAAGCAAATGAACGTACCACCAGTAAAGGTAATTCATGCCTCTAGAATAAGACAAACATGGAACTCCATGTTCGCCAACCTGCTGGAGATGGATTCAACAGACACTTAGCGGAACTTGTAATCACCACATCAGCCAGCACATCTAGCAGTCCTAGTAGCATCAGACTTCAAGCAGGAAGAAGACCAAAAGATCTTAGACTAAAATAAGTCTATGGCTATTCGGGCAGGAAGAGATCAGGCAATCTAAGGAGGGAGATGGGTGGATGGATTTTCAAAACCAGTTAGGAAGACTCAAAGTAGGGTTATCATGGGAGTGGGTGGGTGGGGCGGGGGGTGGTGGTATATACCCTGATGTGTTCAGAGTGTCCTGCACAAGAAGTATAGCCATCTTACGGCCTTTTTATCAGTTCCATTAAGGAAAGTACAGTTCTTATTCTACTCAGTTTGCTTACAATAAACGTATTTTGTTTTTTAATTCATTCAGATATGGAACTCACTGGCTGGCCAGCATTTATTACCCATCCCTAGTTGCCCTTGAGAAGGTGGTGGTGAGCTGCATTATTGAACCGCTGCAGTCTATGCACTGTAGGTAGACCCAAAATGCCACTAGGGAGGGAATTCCAGGATTTTTGACCCAGCAACACTGAAGAAACAATGATATATTTCCAAGTCAGGATGGTGAGTGGCTTGGGGGAGGGGCAGCATGCTGGTGGTGACATTCCCAAATATCTGCTGCCTTTGTCTTTTGAGATGGAAGTGGTCTTGGGTTAGAAGGTGCTGTCTAAGGACCTTTGGTGACTTTCTGCAGTGCATCTTGTAGATAGTACACAGGGCTGCTACAGAGCAGAGCGTCTGTGATGGAGGGAGTGGATATGCTGCCAGTCAAGCGGGCTGCTTTGTACTGAATGGTGTCAGGCTTCTTGATTGTTGTTAGAGCTGCACCTATCCAGGCAAGTGGGCAGTATTCCATCATACTCCTGACTTGTGCCTTACAGATGATGAATAGACTTTGGGGAGTCAAGAGGTGAGTTACTTGCCACATCATTCCTAGCCTCAGACCTGCTCTTGTAGCCATTGTGTTCATGTCGCATGTTCAGTTAAGTTTCTCTTCAATGGTAACCCCAGTGATGTTGATAGTCAGGGATTCAGTAATGGTAACACTATTAAATGTAAAAGGGACAGTGGTTAGATTGTCTCTTATGGTAATGGTCATTGTCTGGCATTTGTGTGGTGCTAATGTTACTTTCCACTTGTCAGCTCAGGCCTGGATATTGTCCAGATCTTGTTGCATTTGAACATGGACACCTTCAGTACTCAGTCAATCTAGGATGACTGACAGATGTAGTAGTTGGAGAGCGTTCAATAATGTTGAGAAAACTGAAAGGAAAAAGGACAGGGAGTGTAGGAAGATCACAAGGAGAGCTTGTCAGACTGGGATGTGTAAGATCTCTGTGCATTCAAACAAACTGCATTGAAAGTATAATTAGTGAGCTACAAATTTTACTTCTGAAATTGCACTCTCTCTCTCTCTCTCCCAGAACCTGGTATACTTTGAAGTTGCCAAAACAACTATTTCTTGCTTTTCTAGGGAAAATCCCCTTCCTCAAGTCTTTGAGCTTAATTTGATGTGAGAATCATGCCAACTGAATTATCTTTGTTTTATTAGATAGAAAATTATCTGCGGGATAGGAAATAGAAAGTGGTTAATGGGTACTTACCAGGCTGGGAGAAGTGGAGCTCCCCAGGGGATGGTACTGGGAATGAAAACACAAATTGCTGGAAAAACTCATGGTCTGGTAGCATCGATGCAGAGAAAACAGAATTAATGTTTCTTGTAAATCTTCAAAAGGACATTGACACCTGGCGGAGTAGGTAGATAGGTGACAGATAGAGTTCAATGCGGGGAAGCATGAGGTGATGCACTTTGTACAATCTCTCCACTTTTTGTATCAAAGTGTGCTATTCTAAAGGGAGTGCAGGAAGAGAGGAGACCTGGTTATGTGTACATAAGTATTTACAGGTGGTAAGACAGGTGGAGAGAGCTGTTAAAAAAAAATGCTTACAGTATTCTAGGCTTAATTGATAGGTGCATAGAATACGAGAGCAAGGAAGTTAGAACTTATGTAAGATGCAGATTAGAACATATCTGGAGTTTGTGTACAGGTCTGAGTGCCACACTACAGAAAGGTTAAGAATGCATTGAAGACAGCGCAGAGCAGGTTTATAAGAATGGCTCAAGGGATGAGAAACTTCACAGCCACACTACGACAAACACTTACAAGGATTAAAGACCCTATTCCCACAACATGCAGAACAAACATGGTTTACAAAATACCATGCAAGACTGCCACGAACATGACATCGGACAGACAAGAAGGAAACTTGTCAGAATACATGAACATCAGCTAGCAGCAAAACGGCACGATAAACTCTTCCTAATATCGGTACATTTAGACAATGAAGGCCATCAATTTAACTGGGACAAGGTAACCACAGTAGCCCAAGCCAAACATAAACACGCACAGGAATTCCTAGAGGCATGGTTCTCCACCCATACTTCAATCAACAAACATACAGAATTGGGCCCCATATACAAACCCATGCAGATCAAAACCGGAAATGATTGTACTCACCATAACGGACCGGACAGTATAAATAGAATAACACCGCTTTGTCTGAGGCCTCACTGACGATGTCACCTAGCATAGTGATGAAATGTCTGAACAAAAACAAGCCAGTTCGGCGAGCAAGACAATAACCTGAGAAACTTCAGTTATGAGGAAAATTCTAAGAAATTGGAACTGTTTTCCTTTGAGAGGAGAAGGCCAAGTGGGGATTTGATATAAGTATTCAAAATTGTGGACGGTCTCAACAGAGAGGAAAGGGAGAAACTGTTCCAGCTTGTAAATGGATCAAGAACCAGAAAAGACAGTTTTAATTGAATCAGAGATAGTAGGAACTGCAGATGCTGGAGAATCCGAGACAACAAGGTGCAGGACTGGATGAACACAGCAGGCCAAGCAGCATCATAGGAGCAGAGAGGCTGACGTTTCGGGCCTAGACCCTTCATCAGAAAAGTTTTAAATTGTTTTGCAAAAGAAGCAAATGCAAGGTATGGAAAAAAAACTTTTCACTCAGCGGACGTTAGGGTATGGAATGCACTGGAGGCAAGTTCAATTGAGGCATTCAAGGGGGAAATTGGATAATTGTTTTCATTTAAATGTCTAGGGTTACAGCAAAAAGGCAGGAGATTGTCACTCAGTCAAAAGCTTAGAGAGCCAGTACAGACACAGTGAGCCGAATGGCCTCCTGCACTCTACCAATTCTGTGACTCACTGCTTTATATCACTGAATGAAGACAGATTTAGTGTTAACAGCTGCAACAACCTCAGCAATATGTTGGGTACTTCTCATTGTCTCAAACTGATCGGATTAACATTCCTAAACAGCTGACATTGAAGGCCTAAACTTCATCGCAAGTCAAATATGGGTCCCTGGGATATGGCCGTTTGTTACTCTGTAGTTTGGTTTGGTAAGCAAAGTAATAAATCAAAATCAAGGTCAGGCAGGTTAAAAAGCTCAATGGCCAGGATTTTCCATTTTGGAATTAAAGTACAGTGATATATATTTTAAACATAATCCCATATTTCAAAGCCTAGGCCAGGTTAGCTCACATGATCACATACTGCATAGACAATATATGAGAAGTAAAATGTGTAAGTGACTTGGTGAATCATGTTGTGAACAAGAAGAAAGGTGTTGCCCTGGTATGACCTTCTGAGATCACAGGTCCTGGCGCTATATTTACAAATGTTGTCTATGCATTTCAATCCTGTATGGATTATCATGACAGGAGATTCCACTTTTGTGTACAAGTATGTATATGATTGGTCAAGCCTATGTACACAATGGCTTTCACATGAACATGTAGGCTCCCCTGACAATAAACATAACCAACTTTTACCATTAGGTTTGAACTTTATTTGCATAAACTTATTTCCATTCAAATGGGGGATATGTAAAAGCCTCCAGGCTGCTAATACACAGATAGATTGCTAACTTGGCCAAACAGGAAGGGATGCTGGGTACATTGGCCAAGTGAAACTCTGAAATCACAAAACCCACACACCAGACACAGTGCATACACAGCAGCCAGGTGC